TTGAAATCGCATATTTAATTAGTTTCCCTTGACAATGGCGCCAAGATGTCGCCGAAACGTCGGATTTATCTATCGTTAGTTTTTGCCTGTATATATTTAAAAATTTACATTTGTATTACGCAAGTTACATGAATATATTATCACCTGCGCATTACAAAAGTTAGCTCTAAAACGATTAAAAACTAAAAAAGTATAATAATGTAAAATGAGCTAAAACCTACAATAACAATTAAATAAATAACGATAAAGTAACTACTGATTAACATAGATAGACGCAAATAAATAAATAAATAAATAAATAAGTAAATAAATAAATAAATAAAATCAATTCTAATTAAATCATAGTTATAAAAGCTAACCTACATAAATGGGTTTTTAACATTTTCTAAAAATTACCCAAAATTCTACTGTTGCGAATTCTCCCAATGTTCTCTTTGCTCGCTCTCGTGGTATCTCAAGAAGGAGTTCATTGTTTCATCTTAAAGAATAGCGCGTTGTGCTCTTGATACTAGTTTAATAATTGAAATGCATCATAACTCTAATTCTAAATTGCACTGGCAGCCCGTGAAGCATGAAAAGCACAGCTGATATATGATCAACACGGGAAAAAATGCAAATTAGGCGCGCGCGATGTTTTGGTCACCCTGTAGCTGTGTTTGCTCGTGTCATGTTGATCAGTTCACTTTTCACATTTCATTACCAAGCTTTAAATTCACCATCTTTATTCACTTATCACACTCAAGATGCCTTCGACAGGCTGATCCTAGCAATATGCAGGACGTCTGTCACACATAAAATAAGTTAAATGATCTTGCTCTCCATGAGTTCTCGTAGTTCAGTGGATAGAGCACCCGCCCGGTGTTCGGAAAGCCACGGGTTCGATTGCTGTCAGGAACTCAGATTTTTCTTTGTCCCACGCTCGTGTCGTGTCGATCAGTTCACTTTTCACGTTTCATTACCAAGCTTAAAATTGACCATCTTTATTCACTTATCATGTAAGAAACAATTTCAATAGTCAATCCTACTTGTAACTAGAACACGCACTAACTTCTTAGTTGATTCAGTTGATAGATACTTTCTCGTTTATCCATTGTTTTGCAGGTGGAAATAAGACGCACTACAAATCTTATTGATATATGTCTCCATACGAAAATGCTGATCAAGCCAGCAGCCCAAATTCTTGGCCTCTTGAGCTGGAGTAATCTGAGGGTCACCAACAGCAAGAGGGCCTGCGCTTATCTTAGACAGTTTTTGCCTTGTTCCTATAAATAAATACTCAGTTTTATCATCATTGAGCTTAAGCCGGTCATTCAGAATCGATGGCCGTGTGTCTTCTATATAGTGTTGCATTGCCATAACTGCTTCATCCTGACTTGCTAGTAAATCAGGTTTAAATGAAAGATAAAGCTGACAGTCATCTGCCTAACAATAAACGTTAGGTAGAAAGTGCGTTTAAAATCTCAGAAAGCTTGGATGTGTAAATGATAAACAATACAGGACTTGGACAGTCTCCTAGAGGAACACCATACTGCGTAGCAAAATGGTCAGGGAGAGTCCCAATGACCGAGATGCGTCAGTTTACTTCTGAGAGTCATTCTAAGACTCTACCGGAGACACCAAACCTTGACTGAAGACTCGTGAGAATACCGTGATCAACGGTGTCGAAGGAAGTGGGAACTGTACTTCAGAATGTTGCCTCAGAAACCTCTTCGTAGCCCTGAAAAGTTAACCCTGGTCGCCACTGTTGTCCTCTATAGAACGCCACGCGGGCGTTGTTCAGTAAATAGGTAACACAGTTGCTGCATGTCTTATAGCATTCAAAGTCTGTCGAAGACTTGGTCTTTCTCCAGCGCTGCTCAGCCCGGCGTCTAGCTATAGCTATTTTGACTTATCTTATATCCTCATTAAACCACGGTAGGCGTTGCCTTGCAGTTACAGCCCTGGTTTGGAGAGGGGGGTGACGGTTCAGGATGTCCGTAAAGAGTAGAGTTGTACCAGCCAATCGTTGCATCAAGGGAGCTAGGCCGATTAGTAGGATTTTTTTTTTTTTACTGTTTAACCGATACGCCAGGAAAAACGTTTGTTTCCGCGACAGACCTTTTTCGCCGGAACGGGCATGTCACACGAGGCAGACTGTCGCTGCAACATGTCTCCGCTCCATGTCACTCCCGTCCCAACAATTTGTCCTCTAATGTGTTCCAACACCTTAGACCAGTAAGTTTCACGGTCAAGATTATAGTGACACAAATGATAAAACTAGCTACCGTTACATGCAGCTTTTGGGAGGACACTCATTTTGACGGCTTGAATACTGATGTTTAATCAAAATTAATGCAAATTAAACAAGAATGGACCTCGCGTCTTCAAGCTACTTGTAGGCTTATTATACTCCTGTGTCCATAGAAATCTGAGTGCATGATATTTTCATTGCATGGCCGAGATGTGAAACAGGTCTTTTAACTTCTTAATTTACCTCCTGTCTCCATGTCACAGTGAGCAAAGACAACTTCTCCAGCTAAAATAGAATCGAACCAGTATTTGCCGCTAACTGCATGTCCTCCTTCACTGGCCTTGATTTCTTTACATGTTTCAGCGGGCAGTTCAGGGATAGAACCAAGAGGGACTATATAAGAACAGAAAACAAATAAACACGTTTTCTTCATCATTCATCGTTTTCTTCAGCTTTATTGTTGATTAATAATCAATGTTTATTAAGATCGCCGTTTAAAAAAAAAAAAAAAAACTTGTAACATTTACGATCAAAGTAGGGTACAAAGCAGTGGGTATCCATAGCAACAAAGTTGTGAAAGGTGCATCTTTAATATTGTCGAATTTCATTTTTAACTTTTTTTTATCATGCTTTAAACCCGGCCTTTTTTTCTAATTTTATTTTATGTTTGTTTTTTGGTCTTATCGTTGGGGGATATGAATGACTAACAGTGCAAGCTGTTCGCATGCCATTTTATTATGATTTATGCATGTTTCTTTACTGTTTGTACTAGGTAAAGTCTGCATACGAGTCAAGTAGCTCATCAGGCCGGTGATTATCTCGGTTTCCGTAGCATGAAAAGACTAGAGAGTATTTCTACTTCCCCCTCACCCTGGATGGAATGTTCGTCCAATGCAGGGTTACCCCCAGCATTAAGTTAGCCGGTGCCCATTATATATATACCTGGGTGGAGACAGGTACTAAATAAGAGTGAAGTGTCTTGCCCAAGAGCACAACACATGCAGTGTCCCCGGCCAGGGCTTGAACCCGGACCGCTCGATTTGGAAACGAGCGCACTAGCCTAGAGGCCGCCGCGCCTCCCAATGTTTGTATTATTTTTACCCTCATCTTTACACAAGCTCACCCAGTCCGCTGTTTCGTCTAAAATAGTATCTGTGCCAGTCAGGGATGAAGTCCTCAGGCCTAGCCTCTTTGGTACGATTGTTTAACTCACACATATTCTTTTTGATGACGAAATGAAAGCTATGACATCTGAAATCGTTGTTGCACGCTTCATTGCACTCAAATGAGATGGATGCATTTAACCTCTTGAATGTGTGCCCCCGTAGCATCATGCCAAAGATAGAATATTGGCTTCCACACTGTAGAACGTCTGCTTCTGCTAGCAATTGGCAGAACACCAGTACAGCTATGACATTGAAGTGATTGATTGCTGGTAACATTTTTCTTCTGGGCCTCTAAACTGAAA